ATGAATTTTTATCTCTTCAACTACGCATGCACACATAGGCTGAATTTCAGGCATTTAATGTGTTTGTAATTACCAGCCACTTATCAGTCAAATTCACATCATAACAGTTGTTATTTATGAATACAAAGATGCCAATTGTGCCTCAGTCAGTGCTAAGTCCGTCATATTCCTGCCAGTCATGAGCCCAGGCATTGGGTAAAAGGCCTCCTCAGCATTAAAATGTGGCAGTTGTACTTTGGCTGACATATTCATGCTTACTTTCACTCATAATTTCTTAGAATATATATATAGATATATAACTGGTACATCTGAATCATAACAATACTGTTGTTTGAAAGCTTTATGCCTCTCGATTAAATATATATATATGATAGACCGCTAGGTTTGGAAGTTTACTGTTAAAAACATGCACAAAGATATACATATTTCCAATTGAAACTAAACACATTTTTGTACCAGAAAATTCAATCGTAGACGGGGATTTCATTATTCTTGCTTCGATAAATATGTGAAAATATGTTTTTTACAACTGCTAGTTTTAATAATATAATTACTCAGTGTGTGTAAGGACAATAACAACTTTCTGGGATGGTGATAATAATATTAAAAACAACGATGATATAGTGGTGATGTAATAATGATGATGATGTTTATATTGGTAATATTTGTCTTAATCGATTATGATAATTTACCAATTGTTCTAGAAAAGATTTTGTAAGATGTTGAGATCAAAGTCTTACGTTGTTGAATATACACAAATTATATTAAAATTTTGGTCTTACCAACTCAAAGACACATATGTTCATTGAATGAGCATTAATATGATATATTTGGATTGTTTATATTCATATGTATATACGTTCAAACTGCCAAGCTTGCTATGGTCAGCAAAATACAACAATCGATTACATAATAAACTGATACAATATCACATTTTACAAATATTTGTGTATCATTAAACATATACAAAAATAAGTATAACTAAAGCAATAACTATTAAGATTGTCGAGATTGATTTACATATATTAAAAGTGTTGATGTTTATGTTTTCTGTAGTAGGACATTAAAATAAACCCAGTCACTTCTTTAGTTGTAGCATCATTGTACATGAATATGGTGCTTATTTATTGATGGAGGAATATATTGTTACGACAGTCGGAAGTCACGGGACTCTAGTAACACGTGATGAGTATCTAGAAGATTCACGAAGAGACGAGGTGTATGCTTTTATAGTATATAAGCCGGCAAATAAAGTGACGGCAAGAATATGGTTGCAGATAGAGAGATTGAAGATACAGACACGGATAATCGAGTCAAGCGGGCACCGTAAGTAAAGTGCGTGAATCGTTGTGAATTATAGCGTGAGTTTAAGTTAAAGTAACTGTGGAAATTAATTGTATTGCAAAGTTGAATTGAGAAAGAATAAACTAGTTTTATTTAAGAAAGGACTTGTATCGTATAAGTTTCTCGGAAAGAATTTCTACGGAAAATTAACAAACGACCAGAGACATAACAGTATTATATAATGTAATATATGACGTGTGACATAGTGAAATAAATATTGTGATTTTAGTATATTATTCAAATTACCCTACTATTTGAATTGGAGCTACGTGTAGTTAGCTACGTCTTTCCATCCAATATAACATGGGCACATAGTCATAGAGTCGTTTCAATATTCATTTTCATCAAAATCGCTCATGTCATTTATTTCTCTGGAAACATCATCTGGGGACTGATTCTGACATGTTGATAGTTGGCACATATCTGAGCACTTCTAGCCATTGATCATACAAGGACAATCTCCAGGCTTACATGCCAGGATTCGATGACGAGGAACCCACTTTGAGACTAATAATGGCTGGAGACGGCTTGAATGGGTAACGAAGAAAAACTTTAATATAACAGCTTGTCGAAACGTTGTACATTTGCTGTTATATTAAAGTTTTTCTTCATTACCCATTCAAGCCGTCTCCGGCCATTATTATATGCCAGGAGTTCCAACACAGAATCTGGAGCAGGATTCCAGTCCATCAAGTCGATGCCAATGGATTGGGTTTCAGTGTCGATGATCCATCCATGCCCCACAGAACTTGGAACATTATCTTCTTTGGTGGTACTTCTGTTACAGATGGTTGTTTGGTAATTTGCTCTTTGGGAGTACTTGAGTAAGCAGTCTGAACATGGGGGTAATTGATGAGATTCTAGTTCTCCTTTCTTGCTGCTGAATAGGCTGTAGCGCCATTAATTGGCCTTCAGACTGCCTAGTTTACAGCCATAAAGTTTACAAGTAAAGATTTCCAACTTTGAGAATAATTCTAAACACACATCCCATTCTTGTACAAGTAATTGAAAAGTTTCCTGTGTTGCTGGATCCACCTTCAAAAGTCTTAGTACAGACAGTTTGTGTTTTCCTGCAAAAGAACTGACTGTACCACATCTGGAAAATGTGATGACAACCTTTTCTACATCAATATAAGTTGTCAGTGTTTTTGTTCTTGATTTAATGAATACCTTTACCTGTACTTATTCGTAGTATTAAAGTGCCAGTAGCAATTCATCTGTGTCATCTGCAAAAATTACCACAGTTTCAGTGCCTTCATTAGCTGTGTGAACTGTGTGCAGCATCGCTCGTGTATCAACTTCTTCTTGACTTGTTTCAAGCTCAGATACTTCCCAGGCTTCATCACCTTTTTCATTCTATAGCATTTGCTTCCACAAGTGACAAAGACTACCCTAATATCAAGTAATCTGTGATACTATGGTTGCAACCAATCATGGAGAAATAACTCGACCAGAGACGACTTGTTATTGGAATTTGTCAGAAATTTCATCCATTGTTGCACAATTTGTTCCAATGTTATGGCTTTGAATTGAACTCCATCTTTAGAAGCTTGTGGTGATATTTCGATATTCTTTATACTCTGTTCTTTGTAGACATCAAAGACGATATAAACCGTTGCATTTTGACCACCCTCGTGCAGAGCCACTTGCAATACCAATGAGGCAACTTGTATAAATGTTTTATGATCCACTTCTTTGTGATGAATTATTTGCTATCCCGTCCACTATAGGCGTGCAGGATGGGGTAGAAAGTGATGATGATTTTTTTTATAGAAAGCTGCTAGATCCAGAGGTCTATCATATTTTTTTTTCTGAAACTAGATCAATAAGCCTTCAAAAAATAACAGTGGCAATTTGCCCTTATAAATGGTTTCATATGGCCCAAATTTGACCTTTGGCTCATAGACTATAAGGGAGGTTATAACGTCGGGATATCATCTGACCTACTATTCAAGGACGCTGCTCACTACTTTCATGCACAAGGTGCAGCTTTACGGCCATGGAATGGCATGGACTGATTATATACACAGCGTGGTCATAAGTAAATAGACACCACCTTTTCAGAAAAAAATTAATTTTTTCAGTCATATTCACATGAATTGACATATTTATAATTCAATTAATATCTAGTAGATCTTCCTTTCGCTTCGTGCAGTTCGTTGATCCTTTGGAGCATCGTGAGAATCATCTCGTCAATTTTGGATTGTGGGATTTTCGCCCACTCTTGCTCCAAAACTTGGAGTAACTCGCTCTTCGAAGTTGGTTTTT